GGGGGGGGGGGGGGGGGGGGGGGGGGGGGGGTAGTGCTCAAGAATTGTCCTGTTACCTTCCACAGGTTAGTTTTTTCCTTAAGCCTATACAACCAAATCAGCAGGCAATCATTATGAAGACAGAACTTACAAGAGGAAGTCAGACAAATTAATTCTATTTTGAAAACATCATGGGAGGCTTATAAAGATGACAATAGCTAAGGTTGGGCATGAGATGAGGCAGTAACTGCTGGAGAACTCTGTGGCTCATACTAAAATCTGTAGCTATGAGAGATAATCCAGAAGAACCTGTCAGGAAGAAAAACCACTGTATCTGCCAATTGAACAAAGTCTTTCTGTCGGAAGTCTGACTGAAATCTTCAGCAGTCAGGAACTGGCTTTAATTTTCTTACCATTGACAAGTCCCTGTTGTTATTCTTCAGTTTCTCTTCTTGTCTCTCTGGAAAGACAAAAACAACAACAGTTATAATCAGTTATAACAACCTAGAAACCACAGTGTTTTCATTTCCAGGAAGACTTAACCTTCTTGGCTCTCCAAACAAATAACACTTCCAAAACCAACTCCAGCTCTCTATGCCAGACAGTATAAAGTGAAAAACTGTACATAGCCAACTGCTTCTCCATCACAGCAACATGCAGCAAAGCAGGCACAAAAGAGGAGGAGGCTAGAATCACACATTCAGCACTTTTGAAAGAAATGCACAGAATCCCAAATTTGCTAACTCAACCAACTGACACAGTAGCATGAGCAATGTTGCCAGAAAACAAAGACAGTGCCTCTATATCACACTTCCGAAAGAGAGCAGTCTCAATTTGCTGCACACCAGGCTCACCATTACAAATACATTATATAAGGATTTTATTTTGGAGGTGTCAGGACTCTGAAACTGTACACAGAGCTGGGAGCTGCACCTCAGCAAGGCTAAGATCCTGATGGTCTTAGTAATGACTTTTGGACCCTTGTTACACCTGAAAGATTCTCCAAAGACGAAAGATGCTTTCTACATTAATTTCAGTAATGTGTGTATTACTATGCTTTGCAGAGAATATTTTAAAATACTACTTCGGAAATTTAGTCTGTCCTTAAGTCATCACAAACTTCAAAGACGCCCAGTTTTCTGGGAGGGCATTTTCCATGCCCCTCACTGGAGGACTGCTCTGGCCTCCGGCATTATCCACCACTTGTCACCCTTCTTGTCCCATGTCCCTGTCGTCCCCTGTCCACTGTGCTCCTCTCAGACTGAGGATCCAGAGGGGCAGCCAGGGCTTGGAAGCAACACCTAGCTGAAGTAAGGATGTGGATGATGAAGAAATATCCAGAGAACAGCGTGAGTGAAGAGAGGGGGGGATGCAAAAGATCTGTCAGGGGCTATCCAGCACATGAGTTGTCCAGCGGATCTCTGCTGGAGTTTCAGTACAAGAGGCCCATGGCACAGAAGCTCAACAGTTATCTTTCAAGCCCCTGCTAAATACAGGGACTCACAGTAAGTGTTATGAAAAGCAATAGCAATGCCTCTATCCAATTTCTTAGAATCCTCACTGCAATTTTCAATTGCTCCTAACTACAAGCCATCCCCTCTGGCAGGAACTTTCCAGACACCTGCTTCCTGACCCAGGTGGAGAATTTTGTTCTGGGACATTTGAGCAACCACAGGCCAGCTCTTTAGGAATCACATTTGGCACAAATACTTGTTTTTTCCCTCTGCTGCATAACTAACCATCTATTTAGATGGGTTAAAGGTTACATAGGGATAAAGAATACAGCCCTGATCCCCTGATAGACCTGACCTGTTTCTCACCCATTTCTACAAATTCAAACAAACAGGCTCTGGGTGTCCTACCGCCTTACATAAATGTTCTGTTCCTGTCCAAGTCATCATAAGCAGCATTTAAGTACTTTGCTATACAGCTGGGTAGAGGCACAGAGAAAGAGAACTGGGTCAACAAGCAGCACCCTGTAGTCCAAAAATCTTCTTATTCTGCTAATTGGAACACAAACCACAAGGATACAGGTATACAGCAATATTATTTGCCAGCACTGGTGTTTTGTTTTTTGTTTGATTTTGTTTTGCTGTCTACCCAGCACTCATGGGAGTCCTAGGAACATCACTGTCTTTTCTTCTAGGGGCACATGGACGCAGAAAGCAGTAGCAAAGTTTAAGATAACAAATGCACTCCTTAAGCTGAAGTGACAGAAGGCTGCATCATGATGTTAAAGGTGTCCTGTTCCAGCAGTGTGAAAGGTGATTCAGACACAATGTGACTGAAGTTGGTTCACTTTACACTTAAAAAGTTTGATAAGTAGGAAACACCAAATTAAGCCTTCCCATGCAACTTTCACCCTATCTGCTTGTGCATATGCATGATTCATCCCTTACGTAACCAAGTAATATCACACAAACACCTTCTGCCTTCTCTGTGCACAAAACAGATGGCAGCTGAGGCAGGTCTGTACCACACCTGTGACTTATCTGTAATGCCTCAGCTTTTTTTTTTTTTTTTTTAAACTAGAAAGGTAGTATTTAAAGGAACTCCAGCACAAGTAAGTTTGCTGTTACAACAATGCTACATCTTACAGAATGATTTGATATCCCGCAAGTTACTGGGATCAGATTTCAAAAGCAGCTAGCAGCTGTGAGTCATTTTCTGGACGTCCAGCTTGACATTTAGGGACTGATTTTTCAGAAACACTAAGAATTCAGCTTTGCCTCTTTGCCTGAAAACAAATGAGACACTTAAGTTATGCAGCACTTGCAAAAAAAAAAAAATCTGTCTCAGTATCTTAGGCTTGGCCAGCAAGCATCACAGCAAACAAAATCAGTGGTCATTTCCTAAGTTCTGTTCTTAGTCCCTTTGTGCTTTGTTTTAAATTTGCAAAACAAGATTATTTCAGTGTATAAAAAAATTGGTGGAGCATCTGAATTCCTCAGATTCTACTGTTTATTAGTTTAGTCCAAGCACAAGTAAAATATTCTCTACTAGGAACTTAGCTTGGATGGTGCCCTGCAGAAAAGTCACTGCCACACATTAAAAAGTGACCACATGTAACAACAGCATGTAACATTAAAAAGTTGTCTTATCCACCAAGTAGTATTCATCCCATGCATGGATTATTCAAGATTAAGAACTGAAAATGCACAAGAATAATAATTTTGGCTCCTGTCCCTTCAAGAGTCTGGAGATAACAGGTTTTATACCTAGGAAGAACTCTTTGAAGATATGTTTATAATTATTCCCAAGCTTTATACAGATCAAATGACTAATCCAGCTACCTGGTGTTACAGAGGAATGAGGAAACCAACTCCCAGGAGCTCTCAGAAGTGTTCCTGCCATGATTTCTGTAATAATTCAGCTGAGCTTTGCTGCACGTTTTAGAGTCCTGCAGATAACAGAACTTTCTAAAGCTCATGTCCATTAAACATCTACCACATTGTTCTTAACATAGTTCAGTAGTTAAAGAGTTACCTTTACCCAGACTTAAGCTGATTGACAACGAAAAAGAATGGAAAAATAAAACACTACTTACAAGCAAAACTAATTTATCAAACTTGAAATAAACCCAAGCACAGTTAACATGCAAACACTTTCAGCTCTGAAGTGTTCAAATTAGGAGAAAACCGTATGATGAAAAATCACAATCATACAGTCATATAGGTGTTGCAAGCTGACAGTGCACTGCAGCTTTGACAACAGAAGTTAATAACAGTCATGGATATAAAAGCTCAAATTGGAGAGAAAGGCAACCAGTTCAGCAAGAAGTGCTGCTCCTCTCAGTGATGCTGCCCTTCTCTGCATTTGACTAAAACCATCAGGAAGCTAGATGTCTCCTGTCTTGGAAGAGTAAGGCAGAAGTGTTCACATTCCAGTCATCAGGCCAGGAATCAGCTCTAGTACCACTTTAAATGAATAGTTTTGAACAGAAGGAAAGGATAATCACTTCCACAAGTTTCTCAACTTTCCCCCATTCTTAGGGCACCGCAGTCCTCTCCCAGTCTTACCTATTTTCTTTTTCTGCTGTCGGCCTGCTGATTCAGTTATTGTTTCTTTCTTCTTTTCCACTGCCAAGCGAAAAGAAAGATATTCCATTATTTCTGCATAGGGATACCACCACACCTTTTCCACACACCAAACAAAGCATTTTATTCCTTTAGAGAACAGGGGCACAAAAGGAACCAGGTATGACTAAGAATGTATTCAGAATCTACAAGTTATAAACCACCAAGGCTGACTCCACCAAACACTTAAAAAAAATGTCAAAACCCTGGATATCAGAATATTTAAAGGGTTAATTTTAAAGTCTGTCAAGAGCCCATTACATTGTTAACTGAGCAGTCTGGGGACAATTTTGGCTCAAATGACCCTTGCTGATTTGTCATTAGTACTAGACAGTACTTTTGATTCAGCAAGTGTAATGAAAAGAGCTTTGTGGCAAGCTCTGCTCCCGATTATCTGCAGTGGGAAGCAGAATACAGGGAAAGCTTGTGTTCTCATACATCCCTTCTTCACAGGCAGGCATTCTCAGGGGAAATGCTGTCCAAGCAGTCAGCTACAGCCTCTCCATTCTTCAATTAATTAGTACTGAAGCATTTCCAATATTTTAAAGTAGGAGCCTAAGTTCAAAGTTACTAAAACCCCAAATCAGACACTCACCAAGCATCTGCAAACAACTACCACTGTAGCAAAAAAAGCTAATATAAAGCCAGCATAGTGAACTTATAACACAGTAAATGGGCTGCTCATCTGAAAACACTCTTCTGCTGACAGCAAGAGCAGCTTTTCCAGAAGTAAGAGACATCTTAATTGAAGACGTATAACAAGAGTACTACGAGAAGTGAGGATGATAAAGCATGACTAGGGTCTAACAACAGATAGCAGCCTTTTTTTACTCTAAACTCTACGTATCTGTAGCATATCTACTCTACCAACAAATAGACTTGGCTCCTTGTTAGCTCACAGAATCAGCTTAGAGACACGAGCATTAGGATTCCTCTCCCACATGAAGTACTACCTCAGCACAGATCTTCTAGCCTTGCTTTCAAAGCACAGGTGAAATAAAGACAGCCAACCTTCCAAGTCACACAAGGATTTGTAGTGCTGCCTTCTGAAATGCCTGTGACACGCAAGTCAGTCACAACTGCTGAGAAAACCACACTAGCCCAGACAAGATACCGAAACATAATCTCTTCCATGGCAATGCAGTAAGACACAATTGTTTTTCCCAAAGAACAAGCATATCTCTGATGAGCAGGCTAGTATAAGGGGAAAAAACATGAAAGTCTGCTCAGAGGGAATGCTGGAGAGAGGTGCCAGATGACACAACACACCCAGTGCTCACAGAATGCTCTCTCCATAACCTTCCTTTTGCCAAATCCAGCTGGGGGATCCCGATCAATCCATCCCAACTGTAGTCCACATAGCCCCATGGCCCCCAACTCTAAACCCAACTGGAGAACACTGACTCTCAGGCCTACCTATTGCTCTCAGCCCTAACAAGATGGCTCCTCCAAACCATAGCTTCACTCTAGACAGAGCTATTGAGCCTTATGCCAACAGCAAGAACTCTACAGCCCTAATTCCCTTACGGTTTGAGCAGAACAAACAACTGTCAGGCAGTCTAGCAAGCCTGTCCGTGGGAACATGCACAACAAAACAGCAGCAATTCTAGAGATAGCCTTCAGCCTTCCAAATTTACCACTACACTTACCCCAGAACACTTACTACAATCTCTGCAGCAGTCCTGGACAATGCTGTGCCTCTCAATAGAAACAAGAGGACAGGAAGAGATGAAACTAAGGACTGTGAGTAACAGTGTCAGCTCAAGCACACTACTTGGCCCATTTGTTTTTACAAATCCTAAGGATCGCTAGGACTCTCATGGGAGACCTTAAATATCTCAAATGTGTTTTTTCCTGTTTCAGATGTGTTAGATAATAGTTGAACGGTGTGGCTCAAGTGGTCTACTTTGCAAGTTTTCTGTGAGCCATCAGGTCAGCCAGCTGTCCTTAGCACAGGAGGGGGGGGGAACCCCACCCCACAACAAAACAAAAATCAAAGCTGAATTTTTAGTGATTCCTTATTCTGTTTTACTTTTTTTTGTTGGGGGTGGGGAATCAAACAAGGAGGTTAGAAACTAACTGAGATGCATGAACTTCACATCTTTCCCTTCACAGATTATAGCCTAGGTACGAGGAGAGCTATAAAAACAAACAGCATTAAACTTTTACAGCAATCATTAAGCCCCAGAGATTAAACCCTGCTAACTGCTCTCAGAGCTCCACAGCAAAAACATACTAGGACATTAACTCTAATTTTCCAGCTGGGTTCCAACTACTTCCCTAACTTGCTCTTCTGGGACTAATTCTACCCTACACATTTTTGTCAGCCAAGTGGGATTAAAGTCAGGCAGGCAGAGATGCAATCCCCCATCTGATTCTGCTGTGATGACAAAAGCCCGTAATTTATGAGCTGTGACACAAGCATGACTATACTTCAACTCTTCAGTTTATTTTGCCCAGGGGAAGGCTGGCATAAGCTAGACTGAAAAGAGCACACTTTGATAATATTGTTGTTTCACACACTAAGAGCGCTGACATCATGGTGAAATATTTTTAAGGTAAAGCCAGCTCACGTTTGGCCCCAGTTGTGTGCTGTCTCTTACTGCTGCAACTTGTGTAGGGTACATACAATTGAGTTTGAAAGATCAGCTGAATTTCTCCTCTGCTCCTTGGCTTCCAATACAGACAGGTCCATTGAAACACTCCAGGCCCAGACCCTCCTGTTTACCATTCCTCTTAACATCTGATGCATACCTTCTGACTGCTCACCCTCAGCCCTCTTTTCCTTTCCTCCCTCATCCTTTGTTCAACACCTCCCAGGCCTCGCAGATCTCATCTCTGTGGAAGTAACCTGGGACTTTTTTTCCTAATCAATTCTATTTGTTTCCAGTTTACACTAGTATAATTTATTTTTATATCAGCTAATAGCTCAGACTTTTCTATCATGACTTTGTCTTTACTCATCCCCCACCATTATTCATCACTTTTACTCCTTACATCTAATGCTTTCCTCTCACAGTATTCATTATTCAACCCTAGTTCTTTCTTACTGCAGACCTCAAATTCTCCACTGCCCTTGAAAAGCAGAAACTGCATCTTTCAACTTACTTCAGGCACCTAAAGGAATCTACAGAGACTGGCTACTCATGTTCAGAAAAAATATGCCAGTACTGATCTCTTACTCTCTCCTGTCCTCCATTAAGAGCAGGGGCAATTCAGACAACACAACAAGTTTTTGTACCAACTTTCCCTCCAGCAAAAGGCAAGAATTAAAGACAGAAATAAGTCCCCTCAGTACAAATTTGTGTAACTTGTAAAATTAGGCTCCTATGAAATCCAAGCTGAATAACATTCTCTCCCTCAGCAGAAAAGGCAGCAGGAATTTCTCAGAGCACAGACTATTCAATTTGACATCTGCTAAAGCAGGATGTAACAGGAGCAGCAAGACACATTATCTAATATCTGAAAAGTACTTACGTTTCTTGCTCTGTTTTTCCACTTCAGCCTTTAATCTCTTGTATTTGTCTGTTCGGTATACCAGCACCCAAGTTATGCCTGAAACAAATACTCAGCAAGTAACTAGATAAGTAGAGACCTCTTGCAATAATAGGGATATGAATTAGCAAATACATATGCAAAAAATACACGTCATGTCTACAAAAGCACATAATAATATGGCAAAGGCACCATAAAGCACCAGCAAGCTGTATCATCACTTTCCTTCAAATCCCCTTCTCAAGTTCCATGTAGCAATGGTGCCTACAAAATAAAGGTCTTTAGAAGTTACCAGCTATCTCACTGAGCACTGTTGTTTTGTGGGACTCAGTCAGTTCCTTCATGCTCATATTTACCAGCTGTTGCTCACCTTAAAACCAGAAGCTGATTAAAGCAATAAACATCTTTGTGTTCTGCATCTTCATAGAACCTAATTAAGGCCCGAGGAATAACTCCCGCTCCTACCAGGACCTGCCCATTAGCAGTAGCACATTTTGAAAAGGCAAATAGAGATATTAAGCTAGAAGAGACCTCAAGAGATTCTCCCGTCTAAATCCTTGCACTCAAACATGATCAAAACGAGTTGTGCCACAAATGCAGAACCAGTGGTTTCTTAACAGTTTAATCTGAGCTCCTACACAAAGCTTTTGGACCTTTTTTTTTTGTTTTGGCTTGACAACAGGGCTGTGCTGCTGAGTCCCAGGGATCACCAGCTGCAGAGAAGGGAACTCTGTAGATGCTTCTGAGGTCAACACAGCTTTATGCTGTGAAAGGCAACGGATGTGTACACCATCTAACCCCAAATGCAATGAAGTAGGGCTCCTAAAAAGCAAATATCATACTGTACCTGGGACTCTCCCTGATCTTGAATGCCCAAAGACAGCGTCTTGCAGCTCTGGGATGATGGAGATTTGGGGATATAGTGCAGTGCCAGGAACAGGGAGCAGCCTATTACTTTGACTACCCTAAAAGGCATCTATCCAACCCATCCTTAAAAAGCTGCACCCATTTCAACACCCTATCATTTAAAAAGCCTTTTCAAGCAGCCCAAGTCATCATCATTGTGAGTTCTGGCGATTTCCTCACATCTTTCTCCCAACAGCTACAGAAAGCCACCAGTGTCCTCTTTCAGGCACACTGAAAACTGTTAGCCCATCCTCCCATAGCCTTCCTCTTTCTTGAGGAAACAAACCCAATCCCCACCACTTTGCATCATAGGCCAGTTTTGCTCAAGAGTTATTCACTGCTGTTACTCAAGCTCACCCCCCAGCCTTCAGGGGCGACGCGGCACAGGCGAGGAGCAGCCTCCTGCCAGCCCCCTCCCGGTCACCCCGGGCCCTCCCCGCGGAGGCCCCAAGGCCTCCCCACTCCGCCAGAGCCCAGCCGGGACAGGCCCCACCGGCCCGCTGAGGCGGGGACGCCGCAACCCGCCCGGCACTCACCCTCGGCCAGCAGCGCGGTGCACACGGAGATGAAGACGATGAGGAGGGTATCGGCGAACATAGTGCTCATGGTGATGCCGCCACCGCCACCCACCCCCACACACCTCCCCCGGTAACGCCGCCGCGCTCCCGGAAATAGACCCCGCCACCCGGAAGCTACCGGAGGGTCACGTCGCCTAGCAACGGCCGGAAGCGAGCACCCACGCTTCCGGGAGACGACGCCAGCCAATCGACGCGGCTCTGGGACAGAAACCGCGGGAAGAGCGAGGGGCGGGGAAAGCGCGAGGAGGCGCCGCTCTGATTGGGCGAGGCAGCTGTCAATGCTGGCGGCGGGGCCCACTCCCTCCCGCTGGCCTGGGGTAGCGTGGCCTGGTGCCGCCGTGCAGCCTGTCATGGCGGCGGGGGTCTGCGGGTACGGCGCTCTTTGAGGACCGGGACCAGACGCTTTCCCTGCGGCCGGAGGGGCCGTCCTCCTGCCCCAGCACCCCCGAGTCCCTCACACCTGGGCCTGGGGGTGCCCAGGCCTTGCGCAGGGCCTGCAGTGGGGTTCCTGCTGCCTGCACCACTCTCCCCGCGTCTTGCTGGGCCGTGGGGCCCCGCACGGCTCCCTCGTGAGTCGCTCTGAGGCCCTTTCCGGGGGAAGACGCACGAGGCGCTTGCTTTTGTTGGCCATACCCCTCACGGTCACGAAGGGGTTGGCTTGGAGCAGCCTTCCTGGTTTCTAAAATTGTGCCCTGGGTTAATTTGCCAATGGCATGAATGTCCTGTTAGTGTGTAGCAGCAGGCGGCGTTTTCTGGGGTCAAATATTTATAAATACTGTTGCCTGCCCTTTACCAGGATGTGTTGTGGGCCCATGCGCTCCTCATATGGCCAGCAGCGGAGTACTGCGTTCAGTGATTCAGAGGGCTGGAAGCAGGGAAGTAAATTGTACATTGCTGCGCGTGCGTAAAATATTCGCAGATGGGATGGGACTAAGAAGGAACGCTAACGAGGACAGTGAAATAATGGCAAGGATTTAGCAGAGAGACTAATTGACTTTTATTGAGGCTCCCGCAGTTACACCTGGAGCAACAGAACTAGACCAAATCCACAAGTTGTAATGGGGTAAGGAGACCTAGAAAGCAGAAATACAGAAAAGGAAACAGGGCAGGCAGGGAAGGGCAGGTTTGCGCCTGTCCTTGCGGAACAGAGGAGTCTGCCATCAGTGAAGAGCGATGCCCTGTGGGATTACATGCGCAGAGCTGAGTGAAAAATAAGGAACGTAAAAAGCCCCACCATCACCCTTAAATGCTCCACTCAGAAAGACGGGGACAAAACCATAGTTCAGAGAAAGCAGCGCAAGTAATAAGTGAGGGTGTGAGATTAGACAGCAAACAAATCCTCCGGAGCCTGGTGACATTTGCATACAAGGAAACATGAAAGCCACATGCGTGCAGGTGACTGTGCAATGAGTCAGGCATTACTGAAAGTTGCAGCGAAGGACCCTCTGTGCCCCGAGGAAGGTTCCAGCGTTGCCTCCAGGCACAGGGAGCTTTCTGCAGCGTTGGGGGAGAACTGAGAGTAGAACCTGGCAGTAAGCAACGGGAGTCCAATGGGAGTGAGAGCCACCAGGGAGACAGGCATGAAATTAAGGATGGATATTTCAGTTTAGGGTGAGCAGCAGGGAGATATTAAGAGCTGATGATGTGGCAGGACCCATGATAATATTTTATGCCCTGCTGTGTGCCACCTCATGCACTTGGTTGTGCTATATGCTGCCCTCCACCCTCTCTCCCTCTCTGTAGAGCTGCCTGGCTTTACTGGCTGTGAGATGTATCAGTATCAATCAAGGCAATATTTGGAAATAGTTTCTCTGATACCGATATGGGAAACAATTCCCACGATATCGGTTATCAATACTGAACATGGTCTTTCACAGAACGCTTGTGCGGCAGACGCCAAGCTAGGAGGAGATGGTCAATGACATGAACCTCTTTCCCCTCTAGTGTCTGTGCTTTGAGCTGGAGGTAGGGCTCAGGGCTCTTTGTAATTTCATCCCGTCATTTTGAATCACACCAGGATCCTTATCAGCAGGTTTTTTTCAGACAACAGAAGGCATATTACTCTCAATGGCATTTCCTTTTTAAAACAGCATTCTGTGCTTTGATCAACATGTAAAGGACAGATGAAGAGTTGGGTGCAGTTTGAGTCGATCTAACAAGCCTGAGATATAAGAAAAAGGGAAGCATTTGCATAATACATAGCTCTGGATGCATGAGCTAGGGACCAGTGCAGTCTAAAAACATTCTAGACACAGCAGAGGTAATATTTATAGAGGTAACCTTGAAACCAGATTAGAGAGAGACATGTCCAAACACATTTCATATACAGAAGTCTCCAGGCTTAAACTGAACAAAAGATTAAGTTGCTTTGCATGGTATGTTAGTGACCAGCAGCTAGGATGAAGAGTGTGTAAAATTCTCAGATAAGTTTTAAGGAAAGATGCCATCTAAAACTAACTGGGACTTGGATTTAATTCACTTCCAGTTTACAGCCCTGGCCTGGTTTTGAAAGAGACGTTAATCTGATCTTTGCAAATTCTCCTTGTGTTCTGTATAAATAAGCCCTGAATATCCTTAGCCCGTACTCCTCGAGGGCCCGTCAAGAGGCATTTGCTTATCCTTCCCTCTACAAGTGTGTCTGCTCCTGCCACGTGTCAAGCGTCTGGTTTAGAAGGGGAACTGGCGATGAAATGCCACAATGGGCATCCTGCAGAGATGCTCAGCCCTGAGGTGGACGAACAGCACAGTCCAAAACAGCTTCAGCACAGCAGAGGTTTTGATCTGCCTCCAAGCAGGGCAGCAGAGAGGCTGGCAGCAGTGAGCCTCTCTTGAGAAGCAAATAACCCGGAGGTCACAACACGCTGAGGGGGTTTTGCCATTCAGATATGAGTGTGTTGGTGTGGGGGTAAGAAAGAAGAGCTGTGAATAGCTGCTGGGGCCCGGCGGTGTGCGCAGGAGCCGTGCCCACAGTCAGCGCTTGGAAACTGGCATGAGGCCGTGGGAATCCGCTGGAATTCATCCCCGCAGGAAGCTCTCGTCCGCATATAGCACTTCCTCCCCTGGCACTGGCCGTGCGCAGTGCCATGCTCCAATGCCACAAGCTGCAGTCCGCGGGGGCACGGCTGGAGGAGAATTGGGAGCGGTGGGAAGAGAGGGGCCATGCCTTCCCAAGGAGATCCTTTCTCACATCCTGCGTGATGAGGGCTGGGACATGGGACCCATCCGGCAAACATTTCCACACCTGTTTCGCTGTATTGAAGTGGGAAGTTAAAAACCTTGCTGAAGCTTATGGTCCTGTGAACAGGGGCAGGAGGAAGGTTAAGGCGTTGCTTAAGCCATCTCCTGCCCCAACGCAGGATCAACTTTACTGAAACCTTTTTATACGGGAGCTTGCTTAGTGCATTTTTTTTAAATCCTCAGGAATGGAGAGTCCTTACTCTCCCTAAACAACCTATTCCAGGCCTTAACCATTCTCACACTGAGAAAATGTCCCTGAATGTCTATCCTGAATTGCCCTTGTTGCAATTTGAGCTGGCAACATTTTGTTCCAATCCCCATGGGTAAGAGAAATGTATTCCCTTCCTGTTTGTGGCAGCCTTGTATGTATTTGGAAAAGGTTATCATGTGTCCCCGCAGGTCTCTTCCCCAGACTAAACACACACAGTTTAGTGCAAAGCTGGGCCTCAAGCTGTTCCCGAGACCCCACTGGAGACTCTCCATCAGGTCTTACCTTTCTTGAAACACGGTACCCAGTGGCATTGGTACCTGGCAGAGGCTTAGCTACCACATCCTACCTACGTCTGTAAGTCCCGGTGGGACGTTTGCCTTTTTCACAGCAGCAGGGCATTGGCATTGACTCTTTGATCCTCTCTACTCCTGGATCTTTATCTGTAAAAGGGCTGGCTAGCCAGCAGGTTCCCATCTTGCATTTTCACGGATAATTACCCCAACCTAAGTACAGTACTTGGCACTTGCCCGCGTGGACTTGCACCCTACATTTTGCTGAGCCTTTTTCCATTTTGTCAAGAGCATTTTGACTTTGAATTCTGGCCTCCAGAGCGCTCGCGGCTCCTCCCGGACGGGTCCCATTAGCCAAAGCCATAAGCGTAGTTTTTTACTCCTGGTTTGGGGTCGTTAATAAGCGTTCCTAAGTTCTCACAAGACCAGGGCCCGGGTGGGCGGACATACAACGGGGGTCCTGCTGGGGACCACCTTGGTGTGGTCCCAGCGCTCGCCGGAGGCTGATGGCGAGTGGGTGGCGGGGCTCATGGGGCAGAGGGGCAAACCAAGCCGGCGAGGAGAGGGAGCGAGGGCCGGTGCACCGGACAGTCGCATCGCCTTTGTCCCCGGGCGGGGGAAGGCGGCGGCGAGGCGCTGGCCCATGTGGCCGCCGTGCCGTGCCGTGCCGTGCCGTGCCGTTCTGCGCCGCGCAGCCCGCCGGCAGGCTGGGCCGGAGCATGTGCAGCTGCAGCAGGCACCTGGCAGGGAGCCGCAGCGCCGGGGATGTGAACCAGGCGGGGAGGAAGGCCCTTGACTCATCAGATAAATCCAGCCCCGCACGGAGAGCGAAGGCGGAGGAGGCGAGGCGGCGGCGCTGCTGCTGTTGCGAGCAGGGGAGGATGGCGGGGGACAGCGAGCAGCGGCTGGAGGAGCACGGGCAGCCCAGCGGCGGCGAGCCCTTCCTCATCGGGGTCAGCGGCGGCCCGGCCAGCGGCAAGGTGCGGGGGGGCAGCCCCGGTGGGGTGGGATGGCGCGATAGGGGAGCTCCGCGCCGCAGCCTTCCCCCTCCCTCCCTTCCCCGCGCCT